CAAGAATTAGACAATCTTTACTGATTATTGGTTTAAAAAAGGTCCTACAATTACAACTGAATCTGGGTCGCCAGTTCCTAAACTGCATATTTAGCACACATACAGGTTTATCTCATTTTCAAGAAATAGAAAAGGCATGCGCAGAACCTCCAGTATTCACTCACTGAGCTGCAGAGGCTGCACTAGCACTGGTTAAAGATTGGCCGCAGGTTCTGGGATTTCGCTAGTGAGGATTCAGATGAGACTCATTCTGCTTTCTAACTGGATAATCATCATGAGACCCAAAGCACCAAATTAAAACATTAACAACTTGGCCATCATGTCAAGTGTTTTTACTTTTTGTATTAATTATAAAAAGTATTAATTATACTTTAACTGTATTAACTAAAAGAAATTCAGGATATTGTATGTGTATTGTATTGTATCAGCATATTTGATTTGAACATGTTTACCTCAAAAACATGACCAAACTGGGGACACAGTTCATAGTGTAGTATATTTAAAATCAAAATCTTTATTCCTTTAAACCACAAAATGTAATTTGAAGTATGATTAAATCATGTTTTCTGCTGTTAAACAAATAAATCACAACATTCTAAATCCTGGATGACAATTTTAAATACAACATTATTAATCCATATATATATCTCTTATAGCTTCCTCTCCTATTTACACCCCTAGTAAGCAAAGCAAACAGTCACTATTGTACAAACCATTGTCGTTAACACATTGACTGTCACTGTCTGTTTACAAAGGCGCGCAGTCTGCCAGTGAGGTCCAGGCTAACACAGACCAGAGTCCCGTCTCCGTGATCCAGGTACCGGACGTCACACAGCAATGGCCCCAGGAACCGGCACTCAAAAGCTCTAGTGTGGACTTGGCTGCTACTACCGACCAGTGACAAACAAAACATGAGTAAATAAAGACGAGATCTGGTTAGCATCACCGGTTTGTAATACCATTCTGTGCCTTAGCCCCAAGGTTGAGCTCAGAAGCCTAATCACATCACAATAGGTTTACGTTCATGTTAGTGAAATTGAACATATGATCCACAAATGTTGAACAATAATGGCACCGCTTTCTGAAGCTATTGTGAAGAGATGGTTTCACTTTTGTTTATTTATGTTGACAAAGAAGATGTTGAACTTCGTTTTTGTTTCATGTGGATGGGCCAAGTAATTACAGAGATATTAACCATAAACCAGGACAACAAATCTGTAATCTGAGGTTAAACAGGAAATTCCACCACAGAATTCGGCACTGTCGTTCATCTTAATTTTAAAGGTGCACTGCTCAACGTTTCTAGTGGAGGGTCCACCACTTGATGTCACCATGGAAGTGTTATTGCTTTGTGGAGATTGTAGATTAAACATATCTATCACACGAGAGACAAGCGGCACTACACTGCTACAATTACAATTCAGATCTGTGGAGAGTTGCCCCCATTCACAGAAGGAGTTATTGTATTTTTGAGCAATAGAAACACCCATAATGAATGAATGCTAGATGTTTAAAGTCATGGAACATTCCAGAGAAAGCAATACCATCTCCAAGGAGACAAGCAGGTGACAAACTCTCCATGTAAACACGACCTGATTATTTTAATTGTACGATTCCAAACTAACAGAATTCTCAGTAAAATGAAGACATAACAATACCAGGAGTATGACAAGGTAATGACAGGTGGTAAACATTAGAATAATAAGAGACATCCACATAATTGTTGCCTTGGTCACACAAAGAGCAAAGAAAATTGGAGATCATTTAGTTATGTTTTGGTTGCTTAAAGGTCCTATTACACATGATTCTTGTGAGCTTCAAGCCCTGTTATAATATTGTTATCTCATCAAAAACAGACCTGGAATTGTGTTTTGTTTCACTCACACATGTTTGAAGAACCCTTTATTATTAGTCTGTCTACTTCGCCAAACCTCAAAACGCTCTGTTCCACCTTGTGATGTCATGAAGGCAGTTTTAAACTTAACAATGATCTTTTTATCTTTTGTTTAGAGATTGGGCTGAAATGAGTGTTGTTAGTTTGAGAAAATAACTTGTATGCTTAAATATGCAGGAATTGTGTGTTAAATTTGTGTCAATGAAACAAAACACAACTCCAGGTATGTTTCTTATGAGGAAACAACATTATAACATTGATCTGAAAATAGCATAATATGGACCTTTTATGGTTTATTCAAAAGATAGTGATGATCCCTGTGAGACTGAATAATGGAATAATACCACCACTTTTTGCCATGATAAGGAAAACAAAACTAAACAAATCTGCTTAATGGGAAGACGCTGTACTTTTTGGTAGTTTCTGTTTCATGTGGATAGGCCCAGTAATTACAGAGACATTAGTCATGAACCAGACCAAAATACCTCAGTTTTTTTTCAGTGAAACTTCACATTCTAACGTAGGATTCTCACCTCATCTGCCCTCCAGCTCAACTGTACACTATGGATTTACAGTTAAGACCGTTTAGAATGACATCACATTAACCCAACCTATATAGAAAGGAGCTCTCATTAATCTATTCAAAAAGGAGATCAGGTTTTGTACATAAGTATTGGAACTATTACACGCAAGTCCAAAAAAGATATTCTAGTTCTTCTGGGGTATAGTCTTTAGGGTCAGGTAATGATAAATGATAAGGCGAATGCACTGCCACACTATCCACATAGCTGTTCCAGTACTATTATACTAGTAGATAAAAGGCTAGTAGTAATAACTGAATTTAATATTTAGGGGTGTAACAGTTTTGTTAATCTCCATAAAATATTGCAATAAATATCGTACCATGAGATGTATATCATGAAAATATCATACTGAGAGATTTGGATATTGTTACATCCCTAATCATGAACCTCTCCAACATATCGTGAGCTTTCCCATGATTTCGCAATAAATATCATACTGTGAGGATCATACCGTGACGATATATCGTATCGTGAGACCTGGATATCGTTACACCCCTATAAATGATCTTTTCTGATAAGGCTGCCCCCATTATTGTTGTCATGATACTGACATTTCAACCTCGATTTCGATACTAGGGAATAGACTATATAATATATGTGATTTTCAACATTAAATTGTAGTACTTTCCTTTATATTACCACGTGGTTTTATATTTGTGTAATTTCTGTCATCCAGGTAGTGGTCCATGGGTGTATTCATTCTAAAGCTATTCAAGAAAGATTAATTTTAACGTGACTTTTTTAGTAACGATACCTGCTCAAATGAGTCTAGTTTCAATACTAGTTTTAGTATTGATTAGTATGTGATTTTAAATATTTTTGACAACCATCTAACAACAAAAAACAAAACAAAAATCATAATACATTTATATTATAGTGTCACCCCTTACCCTGAATAGATTTGCCATTCCTAGTTCCTCCAAAAAACATTGCAAATCTATATAAAAACTGCTTGACTTGTTGATTAAAAAAAAACTAAAGCACAAACTTCCTAGCCAACCAATCCCTTGATACTACTACTACAATACCCTGTAGACCCACCATAAGCCTACCTTCCCCATTGTAACCTGTGATGTGTTCATACAGGAATGCCCTATCCACGGAGAATCCCACAGAGCCTGATGGATACAAAGCCTGGGCCTGGATTTGGACTGGGAGACATGATCAGAATTAGATTACAGTTTCACGCACTGGTTCATCTCTTGTCAGGGGGCCAAGAATTCCCAACGTGGAATCTGGGAAGGCACTAAATAGAGATGGGCCATTCCAATATGTCCGCCTGGGTCAAGGTTAATGTTAATACGGTATAAAAAATACAGGTACTATTTAAAAATGTAGGGAAGGTGTGGTGTTATGGTATGATAGCCAGGTGCTTATTTGTGTTCTTAAGAAGGAGTGGACAATTACAGAGGAATTATTGGTTATTGGAATACAATTATGTAACATTACTAAGAACAAAACTAAAAGAGAACTCCAATCTATGACTCAAAACTGTATCATAACCAGTCCTTTACTTCTTTAGAGCAATGTAACAGAAAATAATGGGGCTGTAGATGATTTAAGAAATTCTTGGTTGACTAAATACATACCCTGTGCATCTATTGATTGAATAAAAGATGGTCAGGCAAAAATACTTCAATTATTAGGGCCTCATGCAAAAAACAGTATCGCATCTTCAGTAAAAAGGCAGATTAAACTGTCTAGTTACTCCCCAAACTCCATCAAACTCGCTCCATGCTTTCTCCTTTCTGCTGCTGTTCATGTAAATCATTATAGTCTAAAAAAACAAAAAACAAAAAAATAATAAAAAAACCCTAGACAACTAATAAAAGATTTGGACAACTAAGACTCAGACTAAGACTCCATTGAGTAAACAAGTGCCGCCCTAGAGCATAGACACTCCCAGTAAACATGATTAACTTGTATCTTTATTGCCATACTTGCTTTTCTGCTATATATTTTCATGCTAGAGAAACAATCTGATAACTCATTCCACTTTTGAGCACCTGATTAAAGCTTAAAGTTGGAAACATAGAGACTGATATAGAGAATCCTGCAGCAGATGGCTTTAAGTTTGATTGTTAAGAGAAATTATTATGTGAAAGTGAAAGAATAGGAAAGTCATTTTTATGTGTTAATAATGTTTAATAACAAGAAAAAATGAACAAATAGTGGCTAAAAGGCTCAGCCAAAGTAAGAAACATTCCTATATCATTCCATTTTGCAGCACCCTAACTTAATACCCATCTATAACATCAACAAATTAAAAAGTTACCACGCTATACATTGCATGAAAACATTGCATCATTGTCAATATCACATAGGTTAATATAGTCAATGGTAAAATACACGTTTATCCAACCAGTCGTGACTTAGAAAACATAGTGAGACTTGTCTAAAGCAAAAGGCTGCGTGCAGGACACCCACGTCTCCCGCGTCGCCGAGCGCACGCTGCATCTATAACACGCATTAGCCCAATCCTCCATTATAACAACGTGAGATACATTAATGTGCTGGCTTACCGTAGAAGGTATTCCTTGTCATCTGACCTCCCATGGCTCCCGGTAAGGTGCGTTTTCCTCCCGTAGATAAACTACCGGCTGCCCCGCTGGTTTCACGGGAGCGCACACATCATTGTAACCCGATCAACGCGTGCTCCCGCTGGGTCCCTAAACAGATCGAGTCCGCTTACAAACGTTTCGAAATTGGAAAGAAGAATAAGAAAGCAGCAGCGACAGCATACAGAAGCGATGTGCACAAAGCGCCCTCCACTCCGCGCTCGCATCACGCTGGAATTAGCATAAAAGGTGGAAAGGAGGCGGGGCCAACGTGGTCGTTACCGTTCAGAGGCGCGCACGAGCCACTGTCAACAACGTGACGTGAACGTGATTTCGACCGCGCACCTACTACGTCTTCATTTTTTTTCTTACTTGAATTTAGGCCCGGTTGTTGCCTGGGATCCAAACACACTTCTTCAATGCGTTCAGAGTCATCCTTCAGTTTGTCAAGCGAGCTCTGCTGCACGATTTACAGTCTTCTTTATGCTGTTTTACGCAGTCTGAGGACAGGAGCGACGTTAGAGTTTTCAAAATAATAGAATGGTAACATTTTTATGTAGCGCTTTTCCACCTTCAAGGCACTTTACAACAAGGAACCACTCAACCATTTACACACACATTCATACAAACACTATTGTACGCAGACATAAAGGTGAGGTGGGTTAAGTGTCTTGCCCAAGGACACAGCAACGGCATTCGTCTGTGGGAGCTAGAATTGCACCAACTGGGTTATTGTTTTTGTTAATGAATGAATAAAAAAAAAAAAAAAAACATAAGTAAACCACAGCCAACAATTAGCCTACTCATTTGGAGATAAAAACTGAAATACAGATGTAGACTATTAGACACTATAGACAGACATCATACATAACGTCATACATAGCACATTTCCAAACTATACTATGTCTATTTACAATAAATATGAAAATTATAACCTGTAACTGTAAGCTTTTGTTTTGTTTAGCTTTTTAGGATCCTGTATAGCATGTTTGAATGTTGTTACCTCATCAAAAGCATACCTGAAGTTGTGTGTTGATTCATTCACACATGAGAAATCCTTTATTATTAGTCTGCCTACATCTTTAAAGCTGCAAATGCTCTGGTCCACCTTGTGATGTCACCTAGTGTTAGTTTTGAAGTTAACAGCTACCATTTACCTTTTGTTCAGTAGGGACTGGCAATTCCAGGGCTGAAATCATCCAAGTGGAGGTGTATGGAGTTTAAAAACATTGTGAATCACTTTTTGTATTACGACATGACATCACAAGGTGGAACAGAGTGTTTTTTGTTTGAGAGAAGAACTCTCAAACAAGCCTAAATATGTCAGGTTTGTGTGAATGAAACAAAACACAACTCCAGGTACGTTTGTGATGATGAAACAACATTATAACAGAGATCAGAAAATAGTGTAATATAGGCCCTTTAATTATTTAAATACGGACAATAGTAAAAAGATAAAAGTAATCATTGATAAGAGTAATTAGGCGTTTCATTTATTCAAAAGGAAAAGCAAAATGTGGTATTTCCCCACCTGTTATCAGTGCACACTCTGGTCACACTGACATTGGAGACGGTGAGTTGAGACATCAGAGTTTGTGTTGTCTGTCATAGATCTGTCATAGATCCTGATCCACAGTGACAGACGAGAACATGAAGTCTCGCTGTCATGGCGACCAAGTGAAAGCAAGTCTGTCTGCTTTTTGCACAAGGAGAATTCCAATAAACTCTGTGTAAAAACTTCAAATATAAAATAAAAGAAATAAATATTGCCCAACTAAAGACTGCCTGTTTAACACAAATATCTTGTGTAGGCAATATTTCACATTTTATTTACAATGTTTATGGTTGGTTGGTTTATTACAATGCTATAATTTGCTTATTGCAGTGCATTATATTGAGTGTTCTATTATGTTTAATTGAAAGAGGATATAAAACACAACGTCATTCTATTCATTGTTTGAGTATTAGTCATACCAGTACACCATTAATTAAAATTTTTTACACCAGGTGCCCTACCTGTGCCTTTTGTTTTTCCAACTGAGTCACCAGCATTTTATTGTTGCTGAAATGAAAGTGAAATTTAAAATCTTGGTTCAAAACAATGGAGGTATTCATGCAATTAATTAAAATTACAATGAAAGGCATTGACAATAAAGGTGCACTAGGTCACTTTTCTGGTGCATGGCCTGCCACACATTTGTCTCTATGGAGATTATGTCCTTTTGCCAAAAATGTGCAGAGTATGGTATTAAACTTTCAGTGAAGTTACAGGTCAGATTTGTGGCGTGGCAATACGTCAGTTTGATTTATTTTTTTAGGAATAAAAATACATCTGCCACTGTACATCCAAGCAAGCAGTCACATCTCCATGGAGACAAGCAAGTAGTGTACTCCCCACCAGAAAAGTTCCATAAAGATGCATTGTGTAACTTTTTTGGTAGCCAGTCCGTCAAATGTTTTTCTTCATGGAGATGTTATTGCTTTGTCTGGAATGTTGCACAGTATGGCATTAAATTTTTTTTTATCTTCGTATAGAACAAACCAGACCAAATTAGAGGTCAGATCTGTGGAGAGGCACCCCACTCACAGTCAGAATGCCTGTTTTTCTAGGTGTTTTTGAGCAATGAAACCACCTGTAATTGAATACCATACAAGGCAGAGCTGTGGAAGAGCAATGATATATCCATAGAAACAAGAAGGTGACAGACTCCCATTCGAAAAGTTCCACAGTGCACCTTTAAACTGAAACAGCTTCATTAGAAAAGAAAACAGGATGTACATTTATACTTTTTTGGCAAACTGACTGTTCTGAAACACCCATCATAAATAACAACTGTCTTTTTCACCTTCTTCTTGTTACAGATTGATGTCTCCATTTGTCAACGCGGTGGGTGCTGTGGTCCCTTGGGTGCTGCTCTGTAGATGAACCCAGTCTCTTCAGCATTCCAGTTAAGTCTGCCTATTGTCCCTATACTCCGCTGCTGTATAAACTGACTGATTGCGGTTCACTGTAGAGTCTGTTAGTAATTTAAAATGAGAGTCTTCCATATGAGCAGGGTTTTGCATACATTTACATTGTGGAAGGATTTTATCTAAACAAAGATATGAAATAAATAACAAAAGAATTCATCGCCTACAGCCTTCACAGTCACACTTGATAGAGTTTGACGTATCAGCTGATCATGGGGATGTCAAATCTGATTGTCCCTGTGTAAAACATGAAACAGCGTGCACTAAAGACACCCCGAAACAATACATACAAACCACTGTCTGACTTCATACAGCAAATATTTATAAATGTGAAATATCAGTTAAATAGAAGTTGAATGGTTGTACACGAGAACCCAGTGATAGGTATTTCATAATATTTTCACTCCAAAGAAATACTGTAATTCTATTTTTTCTTTTGCTCTGGATCATACCTGGACGACTGAAGGATTGTACATGTTTTCATTACATGTAATCTTTAAAAAGAAGAATTAGCGTTTGACGTCTGCCAACTGTTGCAAATCACTTTTGTTGAAATTTATAACAAAAGGTAAAATTTGTGCATTATTCAAGGTTTTGTATTTCAATTACATTAACTTTAATTTGATCAGATATCATCTCTTGGCAATTATTATTTATCATTTATTCTATTTTTTTGAGTAGTATTTTTGCACTCTTGCACACTTTGCACACACACTTTTGCATTCTTGCTTACAATTTTTGACTGCTACTCATTTTTGTTAATATCACAGTGTTAGTTAATGTCCTTGGAAGTAGTTCAAATCAGAGGTGGGGACTTGGAAGTCGTGACTTGGACTTGAATCAGACTTGAGTCACTATTTTTAGAACTTGAGACTTGACTTGATAAAATGGACTAAGACTTGGGACTCAACTTGGACTTGGAGGTCAGGGACTTGGACTTGACTTGGACTTGAGGCCTGTGACTTGAGAAGACTTGAGAAGCACTTTTAAATCTGAATTCTTTCTATTCTGATCATACTGATTCACACTAAGATCTTGTCAAAACATTTAAAAAGGAAAAAAAATATTTACAGAGTATATTGTTGTAGAAATTCTCAGATATGAATATAATATGATTTTTTAAGTGCAAATGATCTTAAAAGTCAAATAAATTTAACAAAATTTTAAGACTTGCAATGACTTGAAGCTCAAATCAGATGACTTGGACTTGACTTGGATTTATGGGCCAGTGACTTGAGACTGAACTTGGACTTGCCTGTATTTGACTTGCGACTTGACTCGGACTTGAGGTCAAAGACTTGAGACTTACTTGAGACTTGCAAAACAAAGACTTGGTCCCGACTCTGGTTCAAATACACACATACTTGTACACATCAACATTTGAAATAAACTGGGAGTAAACCAGGTTTAATCTAAATATTAAAAGGGCACTTTGTAAACTTTCCACAGCATGACATTAAACGTATCTGTCTTGTATTTACTAACTAAAGATGTTTTATTACCTTGAAAATGATCACCTCGCCTCCCCACAGATCTGAGCTGGCATCACCTGCTTATCTCCATAGTTAAATGCTAAATGTCATACTGTGGAACAGGCAATGCAAATAACATCTTCTTAGAGACATTTGAAAAGTTAATTGTAATGTCTATTTGAAAATCACAATCTGATCTTTTTCTAAAACGATTCATGCCAGGAAGTTGAATTTTACACACAGAGCGGTTGTAGCAGACTCCATATTGCCTGTACGCTCTTCTTCTGCTGTGAGGCTAATTGTAGCTGACATGTGACCATGATGGGTAATGGTGCCTAACAGGCCTACATAACCCCAGTCTCAGGCCGCAGCGCTGGCTTCCATGTAAGGGAAGTATAAGCAGACACCTGGGGGCTTGTGGGTAGTGAAGTCCAAATATTTACATTCAGTACGTTTAATTGGTGACACCCTTTTCATGCTTTGGTGTCTGGTTTTAACACAGCGTTTATCACTCCATTCATTTTATGCTTATATGCGGCAGTGCGGGCTTTTATGTGAGATGTGTTTATGCATAAGGGAAGATATATATTCTACATTAACAACATTTTAAAAAGAGTTTGATGTGGCTGGTTCTTATAGCATCACTTAATTTTGTTTTGGACAAGTGTTAATGTATGCTCAGAGGCAATTGATGTTGTTTATCACTAGTATTTTAAATGAGAGGCAGTGCATAGCAA